TTTAAGTCTAGTCAGTAATATATTACAGATATGTGAGAAGGTAAGCCTCAGGGATACAGAGCCTTGACTTCACTGTAAATATATACACCAAGCCAAATTAGAGTTTTTCATGCTTCATTTATTTATTTATTGAAAGTTTCTTTGTTTGTGTTTATTATTGCCATTCACTACAGCAGTTTCTAAGATCTCACATCCTGAATTACATGATCATATCAAATATGGGTGTATGTGAGGTTTTTGCCTGGCTCAGTACATTGTGTTTTAATGTATCAGGGCAGGCAAGGCCAAATTCTTGTTGTCTTAATCACATTAGTAGTTCCATTGATCTCAAAGGTACTGCTTGTCTGAGTACAGTGGTTCATAGTCTCTGGGAAAACAGAGGCATCGTGACACTTGTTAAGATCAGTTGCAAAGTTGATTTACAAGACATTGGGTAAAATTAATTATAAGTTATCTTAATTAAGAATCAGATGGGTAGCTGATTTATTTACACACTGTAGTTGTGTAGTTTCCACAGTTTTATTTGATAAGCAAATATATAGGCCCAATCCTGCATTTATTGTACATCTAAAACATCACTTAAAGTCTCTGGGTGGAATCCTGTTGACTGTACTCATAAGATGATCATTTAAAGTCAATTGGCCTGATTTTGATCTTACTTACACATAAATCAGGAGTAACTTCACTGTGGTTAATTGAGTTATACCATCATAAAACCAGTGTGAGATCACAATCAGCTCCACTGGGGCTGCTTGTCAGACTTTGCCCAGTGGAAGTTTTGGGTGTACAAGGAATGCACAATCATCTGGCGCTACATTTGCATTTACATAGCCATCTTGGAAGAGTTCACTTACCAGCTTTTGCACCATGAAAAGACAAACAACCAGCACTGTCTCATATTAACAAACAGATGCCTGCATGCAATCCTGATTTAATAAATGATTGCTCTGTAGCAAATGTGTTTTCGAACATCTCTTCTTAAGACATCCAGTACTAGTTAAAAATGTGTGCAGGTTCCACCAGATTTGCAGCATCAACAAAAGAGTAACACATCAGATTTGCTTCATATGCCCAGAGACTCTTGTCCTCTCCATGCTCTTTTCTAGATTTAGCAAAATTCAATGATGGTGCTAAATCAATTTTTTTTAACTTTCCAGGGAGAAAACACTGGCAACATTGTGTGTTCTAGGGAAGGCTGTGTGTGTAAATGAGAAACCGTGGATAGCAGCAGAGTGATCTCCTGTGGCCCTGCTAGTACAAGCTTTCCCCATATTGTCTCCTGCTTTTATATTAATTACAACTTGCATTATCAGCTGCGAGTCTGTAGCCCGGCAAATAGAAAATACTGCCCCTGGAGACCTAGCTTCTTGTATCTATTTTCCATCTCCTTCTATTGTGCTCCACTCAGTATTCACTGCTTTTCTCCTGGTAACACTGCTCTTTAACACAATTAGGTAAGAGCAAGAAGAGCACCATATTTGACTCCCAATTATTAAAACTACTGGGAATAGATACATGTGAACTGTGTTCCTTCTATGGTACACTGCAGTAGTTTAGTTCATGATTAAATACATGTGCGTCTATGTTGTAGTGTATACGTGTATTTGTGTATACGTATATATAAAATCATCAAATGCATCTTAATCACACCACTCTCTTATTTGATTTTCCACTGCAGAGCACATTTTTAAACCTAACAATATTATTCACAAATTACAAAGAAACCACATTAACAGTTTATACAGCAATCCTAGCCATCAATAACTCATTTTAGAGCAATATTTTGGGCCTGATCCAAAGCCCAAGAAAGTCAATAGAAAAACTGCCACTAGCTTCAGTGGGCTTTGAGGTTTTCTATATGTGTAATAAATTGTATTGATTAGGTCCAGTGGGTAATCCTGTTAACATGCATATTTGGGTGCCACTTTTGCTTCAATAGTCATAAAATAATTGAAAATGACCGGGAATATGGCCAGGAAGATCTTCTTGAGGGATGCAAATTTGGAACCTCTCTAGGTAAAAAAGTAAGAAGTTGGATTACTCACAGAGGTATCTTAGTACAAAACAGTGATACCTCATGATCCACCCTTATGATTACTGATCACATCTTCTATAATAATATAAAAGAATAGTTGATTTCCCTGTATCTAACATATTCTTAGTATACTACAATTGCAAATAACCACTTTATTATTTTTATCTCTCTACAAAATGCTGCCAAATTCTTTTCCTCAGGAAACCAATGTCACAAGAAATCCACTGAGTTCCAAATCAATACAGTCTGTCTTTTGAAAACTTGGTCTACAAACTGAGGTCAAGCACAACTTGGACTGGTATAGACAGCAAGGGTTTTTAACTGCGGGAAGTCTGATTCAGTGATACTTTCCAAATCATTACATTTTTGGAACAAAAGACTGGTCTAGCTTTTGAATACCGTATGATAGGTTTTGGATGACATTTGCCTTAAAACATAGCTGAGGTGTTACTGGCTAATTATTGTAATTTTCATATGTGTGGCAAGGAGCTTTAACAGCAACCAGCTTAAGTGAGCCTGCAGTGCATAAAATTAACATAACTCACTGTGGTCTCTGAAAAGTTTAGCCTAGGTGAACATGTTGCAATTATTATATTCGAAAAGAAGGTTCCAGCCTGATATTGTTGGAGGGCTAAACTCATGCCATGCTATTGTTTCTTTCCTTTTTCATGTATTTCTTCTAGCTCTTTATCTGATTACCATCCGGCAAACAGCTGACGCTAAGAGGCTGCAGAGGGCTGAAGAGCTCCTGTCTGCTGTTTGCCTTCAGCTTGAAGCTATTTGAGTGGTTTCCTAACTCAGAGATAAAAAGAGAAGCTCATAGGCACAACTCTTGTTTTAATCCAGGCTGGAAAGAAACTTGCTCAGTCTTTGCATTTTATTTCTCTACGAACTTCCCCCTACTTTATTTTCATTCATAGTCTATTTTTAATAACATCTGAGCTGCTTCAACTCTTCAGAAGTTTCATCTTTTCTTTTGTTTTCATTTTCACCTGCCTTGCGACATGATGGTAACAGATTTTAATTCTGGTTTTTGGTATGGTGGTAAATTAGCTTTCGGTAGATTTAGCTGGCACAGCAATCTCAAAAAACAGATAATACTACCGTGTAATCAGTAATTTTTGATAGTCTTTGTTGCAGTTCTATATTAGAGAAAATATGTTCAATAGCATTTGTATCCTAAAGCCTGTTGGCTATGCTGACAAGTTAAGGCTGTTGTAGAACCTGGGACAAATCCTGCCTGATGTATTTATTAGTATAGCTCAACTGATTTAAGTGGGACTTTTTGTGCAGATAAAGCAAGCAGGATTTTGGCTCCCTATTAGCTTTTGGCTATATACGGCCTGATCCAAAGTCTATTGGAGTCAATGGAACTCATTTAACTGACTACAGTGGGCTTTAAATCAGAACCGTAAAGTTTTGGTTGGGTTTGTAGAAAAATATTATCTGGCTGCTTCACTATACATTGCTGTAATACATGTGGTATCAATCAGTTTTGGAAGATTATCTAGACATGGTTCGTTGTATATACATGGCCTGATTCTGATCTCCCATACACTGGTTTTACACAGGGTAACTCCACTGACTTCACTTGATTTACTTCTGATTTACATTGCTGTCAGTAAGGTCAGAATCAGGCTATATATGCATCAGCATACATCATTCACAGTCCTTGGTATTTGCGATGTTGTAATAGCTCAGGGTGTGCAGTATTTTCTCAACCAAGATTTTTTATTTTTCAAAACTTTTCTTGTTGGGAAGTGTTACAGTGGGCTTAATCTAAGTTGTCATTTACAGGTGACAAGTAATGCAGGTCCAGCCCCAAGTCTGATCTGTTTCATGTGTTCTTGCTCTCCTTTTTTGCCAGAGGAAATTCCATCTCTTGCCTGCCTTCATGTGGTGCTGATAAAGCTCTTCCTGTACAGTAGAATTCCTGTTTTCCTTTAAGCAACAGCAGGGTATTGGGAATGATCAGGAAAGGGGAGGAGGACCAGGAGGAGACTACACTCAACAAAGTAGCACTGAACTGTAACTTTCAGTTTTCCTCACTTATCCTTTTAAATAGCAGTTCTTCACTCCAGGAAAACCAGTACTCAATAAATTAAAAGCTATCATGAATTATGTGACTGAAGTACAGTAGTAGAAGTCCTACTTAGCCAAGTATTTTCAAACTTCATAGGTCTGTCTTTTACATTCTTTTTATTGTATTTTATGTGTATTAATGGGGAAAGAATTACATAAAAATCACCATATATATTATTTTATATAATCACCTGGTGATTAGGCTTGACAGTTCTTGTAAGCGAACTGTTAAAGAGTGATACATCTAGAAAGTCTTTAAAAATGTGTCATATTGAAGAAAGAAATTCTTTACTGGTATATAATGTGTTTCAGAGGAGCTTATTTTTCCCACAGCTCTGCATTTGCTTGAAGTATTTCCAACATTCAGACTGGTGGCAGAGAGAGGAGTGTTAGGGTATGCTCTCCTCCCATCCACTTTTTCCTTTACTTTTTAATTTTTTTTCTTTCAATTTCCCCCTCCCCCACCTAAGCAGATGTGGAAAAAATGAGAGAAAACGCGTCACTACACTCATCCCAGTTTGAGTTTCTAGTATTAGAGAACCCCAAGAAAAAAACATGCCAAAGCATTTGCAAATAGTTCATCAGGAAATACTATAACTTTTGGCAGAATTTTTTTACTGCTTCGCTATTAATACAATTAAACCCAGATAGCTGTTGGAAGAGTAAAAATCGGTCCTTTATTTTCCCAAATAAATCTTTGTATGTCCTCCACTTTTAACTGCTGATGACATATTACATTGTACAAACAGTATCAATATTTGGCACATTTCGCAATTGCTAATTTGTATACTTTCCCTTTCCCCCCTCTTCTGTTTTCTTTCTGTTCCTCATTTGCTATTGGAATGGGAACTGTGGAAAAAATTCCTTGGCATTCTGACTCCAGAACCCTTCATCTTGGAGAGACCACGATGATGCAACCTCAACACATTCAGCAGGCACACCGGGGCCCTCCAGTGGGGGCCATGCTTCCCAGAGTGGAGACAACAGCAGCGAGCAAGGTAAAAGGTCAAACTTTTTCCCTGTGTAAAGTAGGCATGACTAAAATAACTTTGGCTTTTTTATTATATCAGTTCATCTGCCTTAGTGTAAACATGAAGTGGCAGGCTCCCAGTGTAATCAGCTGTTACTTAGGGAGACACTATTTCCTTTTCTTAACCTACTTAGCTGCATTTTATTATTATTTCAAAGTGAAATATCTAATCTTCAAACAAGCTTTGTAATAACAATTGATTAGTTCTGCCAATTCCTTTACAAATTTGGTTATCTGAAGTTTATTTTTGTGTGGTGTAAGTAAATATAATGTCAGGCATACTCTCCAGCTGTGATGCAGTAGTTTGTGCTGGACTGTAAACAGAGAATTTAATTTGTAATATTAGCTATAAAAGGAGTCTTATAGCAAGCTGTAAATCTGTTACATCATGTAAGGAAGATGCAGAATTCAGCCCTGACTAACTGAAAACAAAACTTGCGCAGTGTTTGCCTTTTTAAATATGAATTTTGAATGCTTGATAGAGACAGACTCAGGCTGCAAAATTCAAGTCCAGAGCTAGAGTTTAAAATCCCCTTTTTCTTCAGCTTTTAAGAGGACTGATTCTCCACAGACTGGCACTGTGTTCAGTCATTTCTGCCTGTGCCAATAGGGTGTCAAACACTGCCATGTAGACTGGGTAACATGTTAGACCTGTTTTACACTCTGGGATCAAATTTTAAACATCCCAGAGGGTCATGGTGCTAGTAGCAGTTCCTCTTTGAACTGGGTCCCTCTCCTATTGTTATAGTTTAGTTGTACAGTGCACATTTAGATCATTGCTTCTAGAAAGTGGACTCCCATTTGAGTTATTCAGAATCTATTTGTTAACTTCAGTGGGAGTTGGATCAAACCTTAAGTCAATGGGAGTCATTCCATTGATTTTAACTAGTTTTGGAACAGGCCTGTAATGAATAATGGTAGACAAAGCAACTAACGACAAGGAGGGCTTTAGTTGTAATGCAGCAGGACAGTGCAACCTCTCATAATTAACTAGCAAACTTTATTGTTTCTAGATATAGGTATAATCAGTATGGGTTTCTTGTCACTAAAATTATGCTGATTTAGTGGAATATTTATATAATTGCTTTTAAAGCTCCCATTCCTGTGGCATCTGGAAACAGGACATAACTTTAGTACATCAGTGCATTAATGAGAACTGTCCAACCCAAGCAAGACACATAAGACCTATACCTGCATCTATGACCTACTCCCAACAGCCATAACTAATTCAGTCTTGGTCCACTATCAAACAATGCTTGACCACAAAGACATGCCTTGTACAGCAGCTTAGAAAACAGAAAGATTGATCATTGGTTGATATTTAGCAGGAGTGAGTTCTGTAGTCAGAGGCTCCTGCACCTCAATGCCCAGCTTCTAATCACCAGGCTTGCAAATCTAGGGGCTGTCAGCAAATACTCCTAGTCTGACCTCCTTATTTGATATGAAGCCTAGGCTGAGGTCAACCCTAAGGTAGCCAGATGGAAGATCTATCATTCTAAGTTATGGTCTGTGGTATTGTATGCTCACAAATATATTATACTTATTCAGGCATCGATGGGCTCCTATGTAGGAATCAGTTAATCACCTGAGTTGTTGCTTGGATGTGCTAGGGAAAACTGTACCTAAAGCATTTCCCTATTTGCCTGGTACGTTTCCTTTTGAAGTGCCTATCTACAAATTGAAAGTCAGGACTCCAATTGACTGTAGGCACTTGAAAGATGCACACTCCTGTGATATTTTGGTAAAAGTCCTATTGAAGAGTGTGGTCTAGATTGCTCCCTCCTCCTCCTCCTAGGAAAATTGCAAAGGGGGAACTTATTGGAAAAAAATATGCAAGAGTTCCCTTGTTAACTTTTTCTTGGATTGTTCCACTAAAGGGGCAGTATTTGCCTCATAGCTAGAGAACAGACAGAGGTTCTATCCCCAAGTCGCATGAATCCCCAGAATCTGAAAGAGGCCACAGCTGTCTGTGAAGAGAATCTGTGCTTGTCCTCCAGGTCTGAGACCAGCTTGTCTGGCTCTTTTTGGGCTCTCTGGTCATTTGACTCCACTGAAACCGCATTGCCAAAACTCTCCTTTGCTACTGCCTCTGGGGCACTTCTCCAATGAGGTTTCCCTGGGATGGAGGCATTCATGAAAGAGTTAATGCAGCCTCAGATTGCATTAATATCCCAAAGTCTTTTCCACCAATGTCAGGTGCGGTGGCTGAGGTAAGTGATCCACATCACTCCTCAGTCCTGCCTCTTGACCTCCCTCTTTTTCCCAACACTCCTGGACCTTTCTTTCCTGATCCTCTCACTCGGTCACCTAGCCACCCCTCCACAGTTGCAACTTTCACCATTAAGGAAAGGTCAATGGGATCTTGTGAAGGGTGGATGGTGCCATGGATGTTGTTGACACTCTGTGCAGAACGAGGTGGATTGATACAGTGGGCCCTCCCCCCGATGTTATGATTGGAAAGCTATACGGGAGTTTTGCCTGTTTAAGAAGTACAGAATCTGACCAGAATGCCACAGGTATAGAAACTACCCTTTCCGAATCAAAAGAGTTAATGTAGGGGAAGACTGAAATTAGTTAAAATATTTTGGCACTGATAAGAGTTAGGGAAAGGGCCTTTGGGCAGTGAATGATGAAATATCCTAATTATTAGTGGTGAGTGTCTGTATTGTTTTTAACATGTCACTTCAGCTATATGAGGGAAACTACACTATACACTGTATTGATCATCTAACAAACATAATTATTAATGACCTGTAATCTACCAAGCATTTATTGACTTGATCCTGGTTCAGATTCATAGACCCAGGTTAATATCACAAAATAGTGTTGTAGTGAATAGTAAATCATGTAGTAAATATCATCAGCTTTTTTTCCCCAGTGAAAGGGAGAAAGAATTAAATATATCTAATAATAAAAATAAAACACTCAAAACATTTTACAAAGGAAGGGAAAAAAGAAGCTGATTTAATGGTCTAATGAGGCCATCTTCCAGAGACTTGTTTTGTGTAAGGCTTGCTTTGACCTTTCGCTTTGCTCAGGAGCCCAACGCTTCATTTTTCACATTCTTGCAATTACGTTAACGCTTCAAGCATTTCTGACTCCAAGTCAGCTAGCAACACCAGGCATAACTCAACACTGTGAGTTTTTCTCCTCTCTGTAGATTCATTAACAGGTCACTGGGGTCCCAACTGAAATTTAAAACTGACTGGTTCTGTTGGGTTAGTTGAGTTATGGCAAGGGAGATAGCAGGAAAGGGGCTAAAAGAAGGGGAGGAGAGATAGAAGACCCTAGGGTTTTTGCCAGGGAATAGATGTGTAAAACCCTAAGCAGCACATTAAAAGGTGTGGGCAGCTTTAACATTCAGTCATCTCCTGGGGGGAGGGGGGATCTAAGTCTTTTGAGGTGCTACATTTTCCTTATTTTGTACAAAATAAAGTAAAATGTGCCTATGCATATGTAACATCCAAATGGTTGCTTTAAAATGCTAGCAACTTATAGTATTCTATATTGGTTTGTGCCATGGTGACGGATATATCACCCACAGATTTTAATTCTTATTTAATCTTTTTATGGTATATTTTAAATAATGAACAAGGCAGATTATGCCTGAAAAGCAGGAAATCAATAGTTTTTTAAGGTTTAAAACATGTTCTACAGGAACCCTCTGGGAAATACTTTTAGTGTCATATTTTATACCAGTATTGTATACCTGGTTTGCTATATTTTTAATTTTTTGAGTCAAAAGACCTGATCCTTAGAATGCTAAACACCCACTATCAGGCCTGTTTAGAGAAATTTGGGTCCCCCATTCCTGCCTGTTTGACTTCATTTTTACTGACATTACAAACACATATGAACATATTTATACAGATGTTCAGTACCTCTCAGTATCACACCCACAGTGGTAAACTTATGCATAAGTTACAAGCCAAAGGCAGGAAGCTTCTGTAGTGTTTAGCAGCAAGCTTAACAAGATGGGATTAAGCCGTTTTTCTTACTCGTGTGAGTAGTTCCATTAGTGTCTATGGCTCTACATGTGTGAGTAAGGTGAGCAGGCTTTGACCCACTGTAGAGAGGCTCTGAGCACTATTTGTTCAAAAAATATCTTAAATAGTTTTTTAATTTTTTTCTGTGGTAGTCTGATGTTTTGTCCCACTGATTTGCCCACAGTAGCTTTCTATGGGAAAGATTAATTATCTGCTTCAGGGCAAAGTCAACAGAGATATTGACTGAAATCACACATGCTTATCCTAGGTTACATCTTTGGGTTGATGTATATTGGAAAAGTTAGTCTGTGTGAATTTCTTGTTCATCGTGTAATACATTATGATATGTGAATTTGGAAATACAGTTAGTTGGTGAGGCAGAAAAGGTCTTTCTTAATACTGAAACTATATTAACCCAATAAGCATACACAACGTTGAGTCTGCTTTGAAACAAAATAATAATAGTCCCCAAAAGAGGAATGAGTTGTATTAAATAATGCAAGGTGTTCAGACACATTATGCAAATGAATTTTCATACTCAGACTTCGCTATTACAAAACAACATGCATTTATGTTGTTTTTTCCCATTCTTTTCACAAATTATGTGTAGATAGGTATGCACTGGATTGTATGCACATCTCCTTATATCTTCAGAACTTTTCAGCTTAACATCTTCTAGAATGGAGATACAGTTTTATTGAAAAACTATCAGTTTGTTGCTAGAAAGTAAACTACAGGCTGTATTGTGAAAAAAGTGAATTTCCTATTAAATAATGCTTCACTGGAGAGGCATAATTTCTAAAGGCACTATTTTCCTTAAGGTAAACTATGTGCACTATGAAAAAAATCTTAAAGAACAATGACTTTTTTCAGTTGAGGATGATATAGGAAGAAAGTAGCTCTTATTAATTCATCTTTTCCTTTCAAGTTGTTGGGGCCTGTCCTTGTGTTGATGGGTATGAGTAATTCCCATTAATGGTGA